ACCGTCTTCGATGCTAATACAACGTTGCAATTCGGTATTTTTGGAGGCCAGAAGATGCAAGAGGTATGTGCAAGTTGGATGGCTCATCTTTGTACAGTCATATGAATTCCGTTTACATAATGTTTATTCTGTAGGTATTAGCTCTCAAGGAAATGATGGGTTGACACTCGGAATCGTGAAGAGGTCCAATAAAAACATAAATAGCTAGTAAATCCATTTAGCAACAAAAAAAAACTAACACAGTAAAATAATACCGAAGAACACCATTAACAATGGAAAGTTTGGTGTCAAATTAATGCTTGTTCCTTCCTTTCTCAAAATAGGTACTGTTGTAATATGTCAAAAGGATCTCAGGTGCTCGCACTCTTGATTATTCAGCGAAAATATATTTTTTTCATTAAAAATCTCCTTATTTTTGAAGATATTTCTTGTACGTTTCACTTTACGAAAAAAAGTCATTAGTATGGAGATATTTCCGAGACGATTTGCCACAGACAAAAATACGTGTTCTCGCGGATGTCCCATTTGTCAGATATCTCGCCTCAAATGTACTTTCTCCTGGAAATCGCGAACTTCTCCAAATTTTGGTTTCTGGCTAATATCTTTGATTACCAACTTTTCGGAAGAAATAATACGGTCATATGATATCCATTTACATGGTCCACTTGAATAAAAAATACAAGTTATGCTGAACGTATTGGCACTCAAGAAGATGATGTGTTGCCATTCGTAATGGTGATCCGTTCGAATAAAAAATAAGCAAATGATTGATTCATTTATCAAAAACAAAAAACCAATATGGCGAAATAATTTTGAAGAAGATGGTTAACCAAGGTGTCAAACTAAACCTCATTATTGTTTGTCTCGTAAATTTTGGGGTACATTAAAAGGATCTCAGGGCTTGCACTTTTGAATATATTCAGCAAAAATTATTTTTTTTCGTTAAAAATTCATTCCTTAAGGATCTCATAAACTTTGTGAGATAAAATAGTAAAAAATTATTGCCGAGATGATTTGCTACAAAATATCAAGCGTGCATTACTTAAAGATACAACATTTTATCTTGTATAGTTTTCAAGAGTACTGTAATTGTTTATAACAGATTTGATATGGCTCCAACGTTGGCTTGACATTTGTTAGTGTCAAATATAGTGGTATAAGGATCCAGTAAAACAAGAGGCGTCGTAGCGAAATAGGAAGGGTTGACGATTGCAGAATCGCAGGGCGGAGGTTCGAATCCACGAAGCTCATTTTTTTTGGAGAAATAAATGTTAGGACCGATCGAGAATCAATCGTAAACAGATTTGATACAATTCACAATTCAAAAATGTGTGTTCTCAAAATAAAACCATTTGGGCGTAAATAAACCCACGTATATTTTCGATATGCATCTTAGTTCAAGAAACTGGTGTAACATATTGGCAACGCGACACTGCGGTGATGGGCTTCGCGATAAAGGCGTCTTCTGTCTCTTTCTAACATATGTCTCTCGTACACATTGAACTCAAGCCAACAGACAAATTTGGTTCCGAGTATACTCTATGATGCGTCATAATACAGTGGTTATTTAAATTTTCAGTTTCTATAAATTTTTTGAAATATTGTAAATATCTCCAATTTCCAGGATTTTTAAACCTTTTTGTGATCCACGGTTTGTTTACTACTCGGTGCTCTTTTGATGCTTCGTTATGAGCTTTTTTTATTTCGATTTTGTGCAGTAGTGAAACCATCCTCTGTTATCGAAACAGGAATAAGGAAGCTCCGTTAGTTACGGAGAATACTTCATTTATAAAATGTTACCTTTTACAGCGCTGTTGCCGGAATTCGTAGAGCTGAATAAGCTTAATTAAAACAATTTCAAGTTATAAAAACAAATTAGTTAGAATCAAAGAATACAAAGTTAGCAGTAGGAGAGCCACTCCGTCGAAGAAACCGATTCTGCCGCGGTAGCTGAGATGCTACCGACTATTTGGATGCGATAACCCTGCGGTAATAGTTCAAGACGTATCTTCGCATCTGCTCGGAAAATTATTCTGATTAGGTTTTTTGCACAACATTAATAAAAAAGAAAAACAATTTATGACTAAATTTAAGGTCTGGCAACATGCAGATTCATTAAAAGGGGTCTTTTTTCAATGAGATTATGCGTAAAAACAATTAAGATTTTTATAAGCAGATGCTGCTACTATAACTACACAGGTAGTAGATGGTGCCGATCTCGTCAGAGGTGGGTCGCGTGGCTGTTGGTTATGATACTACAATTCCCTTATATGGTCATGTAACGAGCCCAGTATCAGACCATCACTAGGAATGTGCTGAATGTGCATAGTAGACTTCCGAGGAGATGAACAACGGACGCTGAGACTTGTCATAGACTTTCCATGATTTACATCTATTTTTCATTTTTCTACGTTTGCTTGTATTCAATAAAAGTAGTTTAGAAAAAATGTAAAGAATATTTTTTTAAAAAGTGAAATTTCGAAAGGAAATTAAAAAAAAGTAACAAGATTCATATACTTATAAGAATCACTATATGCGCTGTCTTTTTGCTGTTCTTTTATGGATCGTTTCTGGAGCATCTCTACCAAGAGTCCAACAGTAGTCTGCAAGCATGGAAGGATTCCACTTTCCCTGGTACCTTTTTTCCATTGTTGAAATATCCTGATGAAAACGTTCGCCGTGCTCATCACTTACGGCTCCGCAATTGTCAGGAAAAAAGTCCAGGTGTGAGTGTAGGAAATGTATCTTAAGAGACATATTACAGCCCATCTTTCGATACGATGACAGCATATTTTTGACAAGGGTTTTATAGTTGTCAGCTTTTCTATTTCCCAAGAAATTAGTGACCACCAGACGGAAATCATTCCAAGCAGTTTTTTCAATACCTGTTAGAGTGTTTTCAAACTGTGTATCTTTCAAAATATTTCGGATCTGTGGCCCAACAAAAATACCTTCTTTAACCTTTGCCTCACTTAGTCTTGGAAATTTCTGACGCAGGTATTGAAAAGCTGACCCATCTCTATCTAATGCCTTAACAAAGTTTTTCATTAGGCCCAACTTGATATGCAGTGGTGGTAATAAAATGTTTTTCGAATCTACTAATGGCATATGCTGTACATTTTTTTGATCTGGCTCTAGGAATTGACGAACAGGCCAGTTTTGTCTGGTATAATGAAGTGCCTTTGCCCGACTGTCCCATACACACAAAAAACAGCAAAACTTTGTGTAGCCTAGCTGCAGCCCAAGTAGAAGATTGCCCCTTTGTCTCGGGATCATACTCAAAGATCCACGACTCGTCACCTGTGACCTATTACTTTCCGTACAAACCCATATATATATATATATATATATACAGGGTGACTTTGAAGTTGAGTCATTAATTTTCAGATAATGATTGTAGAAGGAAGATAAACCAAAATATGTGTGTAAAAATAAAAAAAAAATAAAAAAAAATTTTTACCTTGTTTTATAAAGTATCCTCCCGACAAGTATTTCAGTGCGGACCTGTATTTGATCGTGAGGTCCCCTGTGAGGTCTTAAGTCACCTGATTCACAAGCCCGTTGTACTACATTAACAAAGGCACGAGGGGTTGGTTGCACTCGATTGGGAAACCGATCCGCATAAACATGTGCCATTTTTTATTTCGTTTGAGCCACGCAACACATACAACTATTCACTGACACTAACTGTATACAAATGAATGAGATACCTGTAAAAACATCGTTCCAAATTCTTTCGCTTTTTTGTTTCCGATGCGATGAACCGATACGGCGGATTATATCCATTGTCGCCAAACACGACCACATAATATTGTTATTGAGACAGGGCGGTACTCAAACTTCCAAAGGGCTATAACTTTGTTACTTTAATTTTACCAGGAAAATGGTAAAGGAAAAAAACATTTCTTTTGATCAGATCTACTCACTGTTAAAATAAATGACTCAACTTCGAAGTCACCCTGTATATATATATATATATATAACAAAAAATAGGAAAATGATGGGCAAAATCCGCAAAAAGAAGGAAAGTGGATTCGAGCAGAAAATTGGATAGGTAACCCGAGCGATACGAATTTCTGCTGGTTGGATTCATCAGGCCCGAAATGAATGCACATATGTAACTACAAAAGTAGATACACATGCCCATACATCCGGATACGGGTGTAACCTGAGGAAATGAAGTAGTTGATAGATTTTTAAGTTCTTAAATCAATCAGTGGTTAATAAATAAAAAACATAGCTATGGTTTTTGGCATTTTTCAATAAAATTAAAATAATTCCGTCCTAATCGAACCTCATCGGTCCAGTTTTTTGTTCGTCGACTATGTGTTTCCTTCCCGGTCGTTTAAGAACAATTTCAGCAACAATCTTGCCGACGTTACTCCGGACGATGATGGCATAGACCATCGAAAGCTCGAGTTCAAGTTATTATGAGTGTACTTATGCAAAACTTTGCCTTCTACCCAAAGAAATTCAAGGATTTGATATTTCACGAGTATCCATCACGGTAGAATGACAGCTGGTTATCTAGTAATATTTCAAAATTCCCCATATCGGCCAAGGACACAATTCTGACGGATCCATCAATACCAGGTAAACAGAGCCAAATTTTGTTTGTTTTCTTTTTAAGCTACAGATTCATTTTGTACTTGCTAAAAGCTCTTTTATTTCATTTGCATACAAAAAACAAAACGCTACAAACAAATTTTTGCTAGATTTACACCCGATTTATTATAGCTAACGTTGCAGACTCACACAAAAATGTCACTTGCGTATCAGCTGTTCACCTCAGTAAACGTCAAAGCGTGATGGATACTCGTGAAGTAGGGTATAATAAGCTGTCAGTGGTCAGAGCCACAAAGTCGGTACTGTCAAATTACCACGGTTTACTGGTGTTCATAAAAACTGTTTTCGTGGACATTCGTTATTTGTTGTCGCTGTCAAAAAACGTAACGGAAGGCTTAACGATTCGATATTATAGTGGCACTAAAGGCCTGAAAACGGCATATAAAACTAAAAATTTATTAAAGCATACATTTACAATAAACATCATTTGGAAAACATATTCTAGATCTGTTATAGCATACTGATCCCTCCCACAAGATGCACAGGCCTTCCCTTATACTTTTTAGATATATCACTCTCAATTTCCTTTTGCAACTCCTTCGTCTTATCAATTAGTACCTTTATCACTGGTTCTATTGCTCTAGCCTCATCTCTCATACCCTTTATTTTCTCTTCCAATATTTTCTTATTAGCCTTCATTCTCTCCACTACAGAAAGTTTCTGTTTCAAAGTTTCTGTCAGTATATCCACATACTTTGGTGAATGTTTGATGTTTTGCAAATGCAACAGCTTCCTGTTCATCAGCTGATCCAAAACAACATTCACGCAATCATTGAGCGATGTGATTGACTCAATTGTCTGCATTTGGAGCAAAGTAGGAGCATCTTGCATTTGAGTCATAGCTAACAGATCAGTGTCATTAGCCATCTCGTACATTCTCATTTTCAGAAAAGCACTGATCTCAATCAGATTGTTCATAATCTGTGATGCAATTTTTGGATTATCTAAAATAGTCAGAGCTTCTTCACCCTTTGCTATCCCACCATCTATTCCAGTTTTTTCAACTACAATTCCTGATTCTTCAAGATTGTAATTCAAGTCTTCATGTGACACCATTTCAAAACCTTCATCCGAAGATTCTTGATTGCCCCAGTCTATGTTCTGCTCTTCATTTACTACAATATCTCCAAAATCTATGCTGTTATCAGTGTTGATTTCGAAGTCTATCTCATCATAGTCAATTTCGTTAGATTCCACATCCTCGCTTTCTGAAGTTCTTGCCTCTAATGTTACTGGTGTAAATTCTTCAACTTGAACTGGTTTTTGGCCATAAGTATACTCATATGTAGTAGTGTTACCATTTTCTATTAAATATTTTAATGCTGTAAGTAAAGCTACTTCTTCCTTACCCAGCAAGTATTTGTTGAATTCTGTGTACAACTCCATAGCTGGTTGAATGATCTTGATTTTCTCTGTAATTTTTTGGTAGATATCTGGTAAATCTTTCAATAGCTCTAGTAGTTCAGTTTTTATATTCCTCCCTGTGATTCCTAAGAAAATGAACCTGATAAGTAACATAAAGCATAATACCAGGTGATTTGTTTAGATTTAGAGGTATCTCCATTTACTTCCTACGTCACTGGCGAGAAAGTGTATTAATCATGAAAAAAATTTCAAAGATATACTATACATATGTATGTATAATGATCGCGTAGTAGCAATACTATCATGAAAGTTTTAAAACGCATTTTTCATATCAGTGGGTTCACTAAAGCATCAAGTTAAATGATCAGTAACAATGTACGCTCAATTCTTTTTTTATATGACTATCTGTAATAATACATATTAGATACCACTAATGGGATACCACCAGGTATTAACAAGGCTCTGTTCATTTTGGAACATAGAAGATTTTTCGGTTTGTAGTCGTTTTGGTCTCTGTATATAGTATTTTACTTGGGTTATGGTGTGCTAACTATCAGGTAAGTAAATCACGAATATTCTAAATGTCTTTGGAAATCAAAATTTGCGAATAATTATTTATGACATAAGTGAATAAATAAATAGCAATCTAAACTTTGAATGAATGAATCATGAAGTTAGAGGCATATCGGCCACCATAAGAAGCCGGTGCATAGGCCACTTAAATGGGCCCTTGTGTACCTCAAGCTTCTTAATGTTCTGGGGGTCCAAAGTGATGGACCCCAGTATAGTCTGCCTTTAGTAGCTCAGAGCCTCACAGCGACACAGAACGTGCGCTGAGGTCTCTTCCTCTACCCCTTCCGGCCACCCGAGTCCCACACTGCCCTCGTTGGATACTCCACATTAAACTTGCGGTTGAAGAGATATCTAGGGGTGATCAGATCACCCCTGCTCAGAAGGACAGGATCCTACCTTTGCAATTCGGCTTGATGTTTGGAATGAATGAACACATCTTTTTAGCCTGCCATCCCTCAAAAATCAACTATTCTTTCAAATGTCTTAAGCACAAAAGATGAAACAGTAATGCTAGAAGCACCTTCAACAGGTAAGGAACAACTGAATACTGCCTGTGCTGTTACATGGCTGGAAATATGCTGTCCAGACCCGGACTTTTTGTATGGAGCAAATGAATTGATTGCTCATACCATCATTTAGGTGACAATATCTCCCTTGCTGCGTGCCAGTCCTCCCCTGAGGGCCTTCACAAAGTATGTATCCATCAGAAGCCTCAGAGTACCTTCCTCAGAAGTTGTATTAACTTCCGTGGGATCAGTCAGAGATCCCTCAGTCTGTCTGTCTATCATTCGATTAATCATTAGCTTGCTATATCTTGGGAAGTCCCAGTCAGATTTTGATATCCTTATTAAACATTTTTTAGAATTTTGTTCAAAAATAGGGCAAACGCGCACTACATGATATTGAATAAAATACATACCTAGTTGCTGACATATAGCATCAAACTCCTTATGAGCCAAAAGTTCTGTCTTTGTATAATCTTTAATTTTCTTCTCACATTCTCCTTGACCCGAGTTTAACTTTGCAATTTGCTTTCTCAAGCTAGGTATTTCATAGTTTACATTCCGAATCAGCATTTGAGCTGCTTCAGCCAAATACAAGTTGTCTTTTTGATACAAATTCACAATATCTTGCCAGTCCTTCATTCGCTGGGAGCCATATTGACCAAAGATGTTTTTCGAGTCTGCTTCAGTTTCTTTCAGAATGTCTACTATTTTTAGGCAGTGGAAATAATTGACGTGTTGACCAGATAGTAGTTTGATGATACCTTCATGAGCTGGCATGTCTTGGATAGCATTGTTAATTTTTCCTCTGATCTTTAAAACATTATCTTGCCAATCTTTGTTCACATGTCTCCTGCTTATTAGCCAGTCTAATAGCTTATTTGTGTTGATATCAATAGGTATATTTTGTTCATCCATCATGTTAAATGTAATGTTATTGTTAACCACAGATGTTAACATATGGTTTGGGTAATCACTTTTTCATTAAGATTTTTATTTATACCCTATTTCACGAGTATCATCACGCTTTGACGTCTACTGAGGATCAGTAACTGACATGTTTGTGTTGGTCTGCAACGTTGGCAATAATGGATCGGGTATTAAATCTAGTAAAACTTGTTTGAGCGTTTGGTATTTTGTATGCAAATGAACTTTTCTAAATAAAAGAGCTGTTAGCAAGTAGAAAATGAATCTGTAGCGTACAAAAACCAAAATAAAATTCGGCTCTGTCTACCTGGCGTTGACGGATCCGTCAGGGCGTCAGCACAAGACATATACACTGTCACTGTATCCTGTGGGGACTGGCGATATGGGGAATTTTGAAATATTACTAGATAATATGCTGACATTCTACCATGATGGATACTCGAGAAATTGGGTAAAGTCAAATGACTCAAATGACATGTTTATAACCTTATTTTACTAATGATAGATGTCAGCACAAAACATACACGGACTTGGATACACGGATGTCACGTTCTTTTTCTTTTGTCATTAGTCAAATTTATGAAAACATGAAGACAGGGAATTGACTTAAAGATTCTTTTGGCCAAAAAATCAGAGGAAGAATAGAGCGCGATGACTTCTTAATCCTCCCAGGTGAGTGCACAAAATATATCATATAAGAAGGGTTGTACGACGTCAGGACGATTACTATATACTGCTTTGACGGAGTATCCGTCTAGTTCACACTTCTCTTCGGTCACGAATTTCAATTTGACAGTTGACAGATACCCTGAAAGACACTTTTGGCAGATGGCATGAATCTTTTCCTTTTTACAACTTGACAAACATGGTAGGTTCTTAAAAATCTATTTATTTTAAAGAAATCCCTCAATAAAGTATACATGCTTTAATAAATTTATATGGCCTATATGTTAATTAATTATGAACTAATCGTATTTTTTTAATTATCTTCCAGGGTAAGGACATAAACCATAAATACGACCGAAAGGTTCGACGTACCGAACCTAAAAGTCAAGATGTGTATCTGCGGCTTCTAGTAAAGGTAAATTAATTACAAAATATCTGTAAACATAGATTAACTCTTATGTTTTTCAGCTGTACAGATACCTAGCACGTCGTACCGACTCAAAATTCAACAAAACAATCCTGAAAAGATTGTTTATGAGCAAGATTCACAGGCCTCCAATATCCTTGTCCAGAGTCGTCCGGTTGATGAAGAAACCCGGACGTGAGGGTCTCACAGCTGTTATTGTAGGTACCGTGACAGACGACGCGAGAATATTTGAAATCCCAAAACTGACTATATGTGCACTGAGGGTTACTGAGACTGCTAGGGCTAGGATCCTGAAAGCAGGTAAGCATATTTCGTTCTTATACTGTTAAGCGATCTAAAAACGAAAATTTATTATTTTCAGTTGTAGCACACTTTTTTTGTCAAGATAGATGTTTTTTTTGTTTATAACAGGTCCAGGCTCGACACAAGTTTTATTCAATTTTTATTACTACAAGATACATTTCTAAAACTTATGGAACATAGATTGTGATGTATCAAGATATGATTGAGGTACAGGTGATCCTAAAATTCTCACTTTTTCTCTTTTTTTTCCGGATAAGTATTTTGACTAAAAAATTCTAGTACAAAATATCTAGATGCTATTTCAGTGTTGTTTAGTTCTGCGACTTATATTGCTGTAGGAAGAAAAGAGATCAGTAATTCTCTAGCTTAGCTACACCAGCCATTTTTGATGGAAAATGATTTTAAACCCTAGTTTTGGGGTATAGATAAAAGAAATGGGTTAGGAAATGACTGAATGTGAAAGTTCTGAAATATTTTGCTATAGAGCAGGTTTTTATTGAATGTTCTGTTTTCATAGGATGTGCGATGTGTTTTCATTAATTCATAGGTTTTCATATTGATAGATATTTTTAATAACTAAATTTGTATGTATGACTTCAAACTCCAAAGTCCTACATAACATGAAATGCACTAGTGCTATGACACAAGGGTAAACAAATTCTAGAGTAAAATGAGATTAATTTTCTTATATCTTTTCAATATAGCAGTGCTGCAGTATGGGATTTGTAAATCTGTAAATGATTAAGGTGTTTATTCCTTTTAAAACCTAGATAATATCAACAATATTCTACAATCAACCTATTTGCAGGCATTTTTAATCTCATTTCCATCAACCCAAACATAGTGTCTATTCAGATGGAGAAATAAAAAAGGCTGGTGTACTAGAGAATTACATAGAGATCTGAAAAATACAGCCAATTCATTAGAAATACAAAGATTATTCATTAAGGTGCTAGAAAACATGGGTAAGACTACACTTAAGTGCATAAAATGAATTTTTTTTTCTGGAAAATTCAGAAATCGGAACAAATGGTAATTTTGAAAGGAAGGAAGAACATGTTCAAAACTAGTCTGTAAATAGTGTAAATTATGGTATTTACTTGGCAAACTGTGTAGAGGTGTTGTTTTTTTTCTTCAGTCTTGAAATTCATAATCCCTAAACTGTCACAATATGTAGTAACTTTTGAAATTTGATTTTTTGCTATTTCACCCCTTATTTTATTATTATAACATCCTGTATCCTGACTTCATGCGATTTTCCTTCTTTTTTTTCAGTACATGTCATTCCCATCTTGTGTCAGCTTTTGACGTAGACGTTAGATTAGACACATTATTTGTTGGAAACATGACTTTGGTGCTTTGGCCTGATGGGCATTTTTCTAACTTTTTGCTTGGTGCTTAACATGTTGATAGATTGTTTAGCCAGCATATGGTGTTTCCAGGGACCAACATGTGGAGGTGATGGTTAATAACTCCCCATTCCTTTCACTAAATCATCATTGGGAATTCACCTTGAAAAAGGCAATTTTTGTCTTTTTATTAGAAGCATTGACAACTCATATTCATATATAATAAGTTCTAATAAAAACGCGAAAACTCGGTTCTGCGAACGTGACAATGCTTATGCCAAAGATATCCAGATCCAGCATGGGCACATCATTGGATTATGGGGATAAGTGGATTGGCATACCTCTCCGATAACTCCACCATTCTGACATTTTCCCTTCTGAATTTTCCAATCATTCGTTGTACCCAGTGGCCTTTAACGTTGGTCCTCGGTTATAATTGCGCTTAGATTCGTCGATTTGGACAATCGTCCATTATAGTTGAATAATGATCAATGACCATTTCATCAAATCATCAAAAAACTTATATATCATATATTTTTTATAATGAAATATCTTTTTCTAACGTCAATGTTTATCTTTATGTTTTCATTATTTTTTGACTAGAAACAGCTACTTTTTCAGTAAGTTCGCATATATACACCCAGTACATTTAATTAGGTATATTTTGTGAGATCAGCTCCACTCTTAATATTTCTGCAAGTACAGACATGCAAAAAATGAATGAATTATACTGTAATATAGAAAATAAAAATAATCCAACTATTTTTGTGAAAGACCTATGACATTCTTCAAAATTGCCTTTAGCTAACGCAAGAGACACCTCCAAATCGCATTTTTATAGCAATCCTGCTGATTGCACAATTTTGCCCTAAAAAGTAAGAATTTGACAAACCGAATCAAATACTAATTCGTGCGCGAAATTTGTTTTACTATATTAGCAGAAACCAACTATCTATGATTTGGCAATATTGGAAGCAGATCGAGAAATTATGATACTATGTGTGTTAAAAAAGTTTATCTGAAATAAAAGAAATTACTACTTAAAAATAACCTATTTTCATCATGTGTAATACACAGTAATCATGCACTGTTATTTTGAAATATTTATCTGTTTATATTCTTATCATTTAGAGCATCCATTTGTGCAAAAAGAAAAACAGCTTATAAAACACTATTCTATTCAAGAGTATTTAAAGAAAAAATTATATTTTCCTTACATCTCTATCTTTCATTTTGTGGAGTTCACTGTGATTATGCATACTTATAAGCATTTCCATGTGGAACATGTCTTTATTCTAGAATGACCTTCCTTTGGAGTCACTGTGCTACTGCATTTGAGGTTATCTTGGACTGTAGAAATCAAAGTTCTATCTGATTTCCAGGATATATAAAAGTATTAATTATTTCATTGAAATAATTTGCATCTACCACATATTATGGCAATGAATGTGTTTATTTTACATTTTTGTTCGCGTTGATGTCTACTGAATAGCTCAAAATTAATAAAAAAATTAAAATCTGCGAATTTTGTAGTCATCTGTAACTCAATCATTTCTTTCTACACAACAATGTGTGTTTCAAATGTTTTTAAATTTTTAACCTAGTAAAGAATCGATAAATACCAGGTCCCCCCAGTTCCATATAAATTCATAACAGTCATATAATGTAAAACAGCTAATTTAAAACAGAAAATTGGAATTGCATATTGCACCAGTTTCTGATAGTCCCAGTCATTTTCAGTGGAACAATCAGTTCAGCCCATAGCTAGGCAACATTATAGCGTTTATTTTTAGGGGTAATTCTATTTGTTAGTGACTGATAGTCAAAAGCTTGTTGTTGAAAAGAACTAAATACCTTTTTTTTCTTTGCAAAATATGCTTAAAGCAATTGATTGGCGCAAAACTCTAGCCACAGGTCATAAAGAAGTTCAATTTTACTGTCCACAAAAGAGTAGCAGGCAAAGAAAAGGTGTTAGGATGAACCATTTCGCTGCGACCCATCAAGTGACTACTTTATCCGGCGCAGCAACTATTTTCTATTCCAGAATGTGCATCTATAATTAAACCTTCAAAATGTGTTACTGATATGTTTGCAACTGGTACACATGTATGCCATGGCCTTTGTTAGTATTTATTTTCAATATATATATATATATATATAGGGTGTCCGCAAAGTTGGGGTCTTCCTTTACACGACGTGTAGATCTAGAAAACATAAGCAATTTTTCTTAGTACCATATACACCACTGTCTTAAGGGAACCGAGATAAAGGGCTCTGCAACATCAAAAATATCTGAATACCGCGACTCGCGACATCCCCAACTGGTACTAGGACACTAGCTCAACCCGACGACAGAACTGGGTCGGGGGTCGGGGTCAGTGTGTCAGGTCAGTATGCAACCTTCAACCGACGGTTACGGTCACGCGTGTAGAGGTAAACGAACCCGTATAATCGATTGCGTTTCAAAAAACAATAAGCACTAGAGACGTGGCTAGAGAAGTGCAAGTAGCAAAAACTAAAGTGTGGCAAACGCTGCGTGAAGAGGGGCTGTATCCGTTTCACGTCCAACGTGTACAAGCCCTTCAACCTGACGATTTTCCAGCAAGAGTGCGGTCTTGTGAGTGGTTGTTGCATCAACATGACAATAATCCGGACTTTTTGAAGTGCATATTGGTGACAGACGAATCTACGTTCACGCGTAATGGGGTGAATAACTTTCGCAACACTCATGTTTGGTCAGTAGAAAATCCGCACGCTGTCCGTCGGGCACATTTTCAACAAACATTTTCGGTGAATCTTTGGGCTGGCATGGTGAACTGTATGCTCATTGGACCATTTATTCTCCCAAATCGATTAGACGGGATGCAATACCTAGACTTTTTACGCAACATTTTGCCTTCCTTGTTAGAAGATGTGCAATTAAGTGTAAGACAATCAATGTGGTTTCTGCACGATGGTCATATTTGTTACCTCTGTTCGTGGTCTACTGGTCTCCACCACCGCCGGCGTCTGCTCGGTAGCGCATCAGCTGATTTCATTTTCTGTTGGAGCGGTATGATTTCGGGCAGAGACGTACCCTTCTCGTCAACTGGAGAGTGAGTACTTTTTTCTTTATTTTTTTTTACTTGGTCGCCCTCGTTTCACTACATATTACCTTTGTTATTTCAAGGGTAGTTGTTTCTGAAAAGGAAAACCCCAACTTTGCGGACACCCTGTATATTTCTCAAAAAACAAAACTCGAATTAAAATATAAAAATAAAAATAATGAAAACATGTAAAATATAAATGAATGTAAATTCTGAAAATACAAAAAATATTGTATTATTAGAGTCCGAACATTCTAGAATAGCTAATCGTGAGCATTTTTTACAACACACTTTATCTAATTTCAGGAGGTGAAGTTCTGACTTTTGACCAGCTTGCCCTAAAAGCCCCAACTGGTTCAAAGACTGTACTCCTGCAAGGCAGACGCAGCGCACGCGAGGCAGTCAGACACTTTGGCCCTGCTCCAGGAGTGCCACACAGCCACACCAAACCCTATGTTCGCTCCAAGGGCAGGAAGTTCGAAAGAGCCCGTGGACGCAGGAAGTCATGTGGCTACAAGAAGTAGACGTAATACTTATAATTATATATTGTTTGTATTTCAAAGCTGTATCGTTCTCTTGAGGTGTAATACAGTATACAGTTGATATTTTTTATTGTTTTATTTAAATCATGGAGTGTTGAGAGATAGAATTTGGCTCCCGTGGATCGTATTCAGAGTGACAGATTCTGAATCTACGCATAGCTCCGGTGCATGACACTCTAGAAGTGTAGACCACTGGAACGGTATTGACAGGTGGCGAGTAGCTCCGAGTAACACAAATGAGGCACTGTGCGAGCGGCTGAGGTAGAATTTAGCTCCTGTGGGTCGTGTCTACCCAGAAAATGTGTTTTTGGGGCAAAACTTTCGAAGTTGGTCTCCCACTGTCGCATGTTTATAGCAGACCAAGATACTGTAACTCGAGAAGATAGACGTTTCGCGATCGAACTTCGTACGCCGTTGCGAATGTCGCCACTCGGTGACAAGTGTTCCGCTTGTCGGTACGAAATACACTGCATTAGAGCGTCTTCAATATTTGGAATATTTGCTTAAATTTTTTTTATATAGATTATATATATATATTTTCCGTTTCGCTTTCCGTGACTCCCACCTTAGCTTTTTCTGCAGCACCTGCAATATTATATCCAAACTTGTAAAAGTGGTCCATATTTGATCAAGTATATTGTAAAAGCTGCAAGAGCTTTGAAATGAGAGTTTAGAATAAATGAAAAAACATGGTACTTAATGACACTCCGACTGACAGTAAATACAGAATGATCTATCTGAAATAACAGATATTGATAAAGGGTGTTTTGCTGGTTACTATAAATGAGAGGCTGTTGTTTTACAAGACATCTTTTGAGTTTTAATACAGTTCTAATTATGTCACAAAAAATGATTTATTTTGCCACACTAAGTTTGCAGGAGAAAAGGGAATTTAGTGACGACTCCTTGACTTCATTATTTGCGCCAGAATTACTCAATTATTTACACACTAGATTTCACTTCATGATCACCGGGTATGTTTGTAGGTATGATTTGTTTGTCTGAATATACCTTATATTGAACTGTAGTTGATTTTGGATAAGATCATGCTGGTCTGTTGGATTATCAGTATCATTTTCAGTAACAAGAGAGTTCTCTTTTGCATCAGATCCTGTATCATGATGTATTTTCTCAAATAAAGCAGAACTGAACCGCTTAGCACTCATGTAATACTTTTTCCGGAGGGGCATAGTGTAGGAAGTTTATTACTTTTAACTTACTGCAGCAGTCACAAGTCACAAATCAACAATAAATTTACCCGAATTTGCGTTTCACCTTTTTTACTCAGAACCACAAGTCTAACCTTCAACGAAGGGAAGCTTGTAAAGTTAAGAAAGCAGCTACCCCACTTAATGTCGTAGACATGCTAGTATGCCCCACTTAACGCCATACCTTTTGCATGTTACCTTTATCTGAGAAATTGTGCGATATGTTTTTGTTTGTACTCTAAGCTAAAAAATAGCATTCATTTGTATCTTGATATGAATACCTTCTGTAAAAATATGATGGAAGAACGATTCGATTCCTGTAGGTCTTTGAGTCCTGTACGTCTTTACGTGAATAAAATCTTATTAGAGATTTTAAAGAAGTTGTTTTCAAACAAAAAACTTATTTGTAAAACTCGTCTGCGTCCTACGTCTATCGTCCGTTCGCATTTGCGCTCGTGCCAACTGTTGACATACAAAATCACCAGAGTATAGTCCTAAAATTCCCTAGATTTAAACTTAATATAGTTGCATCAAAGCATGAAGAGTTCTAACAAATAAGACGTCCTAAGAACGTCTCATGGACGTCTTATGTTTCGAGAAGACATTCTGATTATTCAATGAAGTGAATGTTTTGTACTAATTGGTGTAACAACCGCAGTATTTGACACAACGTTTGGTAGTTTTTCTCAGAAACACTTACATAAAACATATAAGATGCCCGAAAAGTCCTTTTTGATGGCGCCTTAAAGACGCCCTTTTGACATCTTTTTGTGCTATTGGGAATTCATCATTATTGTGCCTTTGGTGAGCCCAATCGGTACGTCTCAAAGACGTCTTGAAGACCTTTTAGAGACCATAAATGCAGATGTGCTATACAGGTCGCCGAAAAGACCTTCCGGGACAATACTTACATCTGAGCCTCTCTAGCTTCGAAAGATTCATATGAAACAACTATTTAGTAAGCTTCAGTAAGCCTTATTCCCTGATCACTTGTACTTAAAATCTATTCGATCAACGTCTGAAATAAGACGTCTTAAAGACGTTATCACGATCACGTAACCATAGCTGTCTTTTGCAGGTATAAGGAAAGACGTCATTAGGACGTCCTTTTAATGTCTGCGATGTTAAAACCTATTTTAGGTCTGAAATGGACGTCTCTAAGACATCATGTGCTATCTGGGAAATAGCCTAAGACTTAATTACACAAAATGAGGCTGTAGCTACATTTGTTTTAGAGCTCCAAATAAATGGACTTACTTTTTTGTTGATGTAAATTGAGTTAAAGACACGTATTATTATGATTTTGATATCTTTATTTATTTGTATACAAAAGAAATAAACAGAACTTACATTCTGTAATAAATATCACAATAATGTAGATCTAGCTTAAAATTCAAACCTAGGCTAGCTAAGTTATAGAAGCACCTAGGTGACTTAACAGGTTTATTGTGCTCATATCAAACAAATATATTTAATATAAAAAATTTAAATCATTTAAATTAACAAAACATCAATACAAAATATGAAAGTTTCAAATCAAGGTCAATTTGCTTCCTGGTTACCTAATCCTTTGTTATCTTAATACGTTCTTTGTAAAGATCAAAATTGTATTGTTTTTTCCAGTAATAATTTGAAACTCATCAACAACATTTTCGAATACATCTAGGTGCGAAATAGCATTTATGATTGCAATAGCAATATTTTGAGCATAGCATTCCTTATTCCAGAAGTATTTGCTGATACATTCTCATTTTGCCCCATAAGGTAATTTCTCAACCTATAGGTACTTAAATTGTAGATTCAATTCTGAATGAATTGAATAAATCAATTTTGAATGAATTAAATAAACGATCAGAAACACCTGGTCGAATCAGTATTTTACTTGCCCATCTTCTTAAACTGGAAACTGCAGGAAGATGGTAGCCTCTTTTCCTCAGTAATCGGTAGGACCTGGAACCTCCTCGCTGCACACAGGGAAATAGCCAAAACAACATCTGCAACACTTTACTGAACTTGCCTAAGCTCATCAGTAGTAGGGGTGGCTGCTCTCCATCTTAGAGACTGATGGCTTCTCTCCAAACTCACACATGTGGCGTTTTGTTCCAGTAAAGGTATGTATCCCGCCCAAGATATAAATTGTTCTCCTGTTAAGATATAGGCAGCCCCCTACATATAATCCTGAGTACGCTCTTGAATATCTAGGTGGACTGGAAGATTAGGTAAAAGACGAAACTAATAAAAAAATGCAACCATTATTTTGTATTGACTTTAATTGTTATCACAAATGTAATCCTTATGTTAACTAAATTATTGTAGAAACAGACGTGTTTCAGTACATGGAAGAACTTTAGATCGGCTTTCTGTTAAACATTATTCTTATCGTACGTATTAAAACAACCTGAACTCTAATATTTATATTTACAAAGACCAATGGCAACACTGTCATTCTACGAGGATTGATCTCTTTGCTCCGCCCCTGACAGAGATAGATGCTTCTTCGATGAATGCTGTTAAGAGTGAAACAAGCGACCTTAGTCTATGCGAATGCATTGCTGTAGTTGTCATACTCTTCTAATTGGTAGATTAGCCACCTATTCGCCAGACCCGGCCCCCAGTGATTTCAGGCATATAAATATATATATATATATATATATTTCCAAGACTAAAAGAACATTGAGGAGAAAAAACTTCCTGTGGTGATCAATGCACACCGATTAAACAAGTGCACTGATGTTATCACATATTACGTAGAAAAATGTAAAGCGAATATAGATTTGTTGCAAGGAGGTTAGAGACAGAGCCTTGTGATAAACCCTCATATTGTCATTTTATTACAAGAGATGCATAAAAACCTATATTAAACAGCTAATAAAGTTGGCTGCACTTTGCACTGCCTTTATTATCAAGGATCATACACTTCTTCACAACATCCTTTGGTATAAAAACTTAGCACTAATCAACGAATCGGATAAAATGAAAAACAATCTGAAGTCCGCAGAAAAAATGTATCGACACATTATCTGCTTGGAACTTGTAGCAATACCTACTTGACAATACTATATTAGCTAAACGATGTTCGGCCCACAAGTTAATAGAAATAAATCATCATGAGCTTTTTGTAACATGGGAATATATTATAGTGTTTGCTATCGACGAAACATTCAACAAAAATATGAGGAATTTTCTGCAAGAGAAATGTCGTAGAACAAAGTTGCAAGTATGAAAAGGACGATTTAATGGTGACGTGACCTTTAGTATAATCTTCGAGGTCATGTGAAGGAAAAGGCCATTTTCTTAAATGGAAATTCCTATTTTTGACACTAGAAATGTATTCGACGTTCAAGTGAATTCTTGTTCATTTAAGGTCAGCTTAGAGCGTCCGAAAGATATGAAGAGAAACAGGTATTTGGAAAAATATGCTACATAGAGGAAAAATGTTGCAGAGCAAAGTTGCAAGGTTCAAATAGCATCATCTAATGGTGACCTTGATCACCACCAAATTGTCTTGAAGGACATTTGTTTTCATCTATACTAAAACGTAAAACTATCCGCAATTTGCAGTTCAGTAATTAAAAATAAATGTAAAAATTCATTTAATCTTAAAGCGACCATGATGATCATAGTTAGGGTCATGGACGCTGTAACTTAATGTTTTCTGATCTTTGCATTTCCGCTATCAAAGATAGGCAGGGCTATTTCGTATAAAACCTATATAACGTCCGACAAAATAGCAACTTGCTGACTAGATAGTTCCAGTGTGCAAATAGTTCGTTCCATATTTGCTCGCTATGAGCGCTGTGAGCGTCACCAAAAGCGCCATCTATGGAGGACTCGCTCAACGACACGCTTAATGACCATGCTGCATCCAGTTTCTCAGCAGGCTTTGTTGGTTGCAGAATGTCGAGAGTATCTATATATCTGACAAGATGTGACAGAAAGAAAATTGGATGAGTAGTAAGATTGCATCTGGATGATTGTGTCTAATGGTCTGCATGTCTATAAAATCAGTGAGCTAGCTATGTGGGAAAATTATTACTGAATAGGCTGCCCATGAAATATTAGCTAAACCAGACGGGTTATTTGTGTTTCCCTTTCTGAAGAGAGGTTATGTTCAAAGTTATAAATTCCGGTTTTTGCGTTTTCAAAAAATTTGAGAAGCATTACGGGAAATCATCACCGCGTTGTGTGTAATTGAGCCACTTCACAGAAAAATTAGGAATGACGCATCAGATACAAAACATTTTCACAGTGCCACACATCTAATCGCTGATTTGCATTTTCTACTTGACATCACAGAATAAATTTCTACGAAATAAAAAAATAATGTGAAATTTAATATCTTTTTCACGTTTCATAAATATTCCTGTTTGTAGCATATTTTCTCACATAGTTGTAGTATACTTCGCGAACCAGGGATGAATAAGAAAAAGTGGATGCGCAATTTCTAGCTTTGCATACAGCTCAGGTAAGTGTAAGTAAGTGAGACAAGAAACCAATGGAGTTTTCATCAACACATATTATTAGCACAGACATCCTCACTATGCACCTATGCACCGCTGTTTCCTTCCAGCTATAGTATACAAACTACAGCCTAGTCCTCCAATAATGCCATCTCTGAAGCAGGTGTTACATCACATCAGAACCAAACATTGATAGCTGAAGCGTCATGACATTTAGGCAACACGAAGAGCTACAAAACGAGTGCACATCAAGTGGACAACAGCTGGTTCCAAGTTGATATGTTGTAGAAAAACCTACATAATGTAAAAAAACCTATATGATGTCAAAAAATATCGACATAATGCCACGTAATGCCCCTGCGGGCTTTCCATTTAAGAAAACCGTCTTGACCTGAATATGACTTTGAAGATTCATGTTTTTTTTTCTAAATCTTACAACTTTGTTCTGCTACATTTTTCTTTACGAAATAGATTCGAGACAGTTCGCCTTTTCTATACTGTTGGGACCCGTGAAGATCATAATCAAGGTCAAGGGCAAATACTTACTTGAACGTAACATTTCCCGTTCTTTACATTTCCGGGGTTTTCATTTAAGAAAATTATTGACCTGCAAACGATCTTGATGTGTCCATACTTTTTGAACACCTTGCACTCAATCAAAATCAAGTAGTTAATAAGTAAAACCATTGATTAACATAATCTATCCGAAGACAGCTAACTCTACTCTATATTCCGGTGCCTATAAGGAGATCGGAAAGACACTACCGCCATCTATGAGATGGTATCAGAATTAATATTTTCAAAGTAGATTTCTAAATTCATTTTTGTGTAATACCATTGTCTCATAGATAGCCCTAGTGTCTTTCAAATAATTTTTTGGTCGCCGTGATACAGCATATGGGTTGGTTATCTTTAGCTATAATATGTTAATCAATGGCGAAATTTAGAAGACTGCTGAAGTTCGGGAGCTCTAAAATTCTGGTCCGTAACAATTCATTCACATTAGTCTTCACGATGAATGCACTTCACACACAAAATACGTCTCGAAGGAGCAAGGGGAATCGTTCCACTTCATTCCTTTTCCATCTCGGTTCCAGAGTTCCATGCAGTTTTCTTGCTCTCCATTCTCGTATTCGAAGTTGTTGGGTTCTCCAGCGTTCCAGTTTGTGAAGGTTATAGGACGTCCCGTGGACATCCAAAAGAAATGGCCTTCCTCAGCCAAGTCGGTGCCCGAGGTCCAGAAATGTTCGTGACCGAAACCTGTAGGAAAGATTTTGTATAAATCCGACCATGAGTATCAATACGGTAAAATTTTAGGGCTGCCAGTCCTAACTCATTTTCTGAAAGACAAAACGCAGGGCATTGAGTGCGCTTATACAGGGTGATTTAAAAAGACGTGCGAATACTTATAGGGTAGAAAGTACATCCAAAAATAACAAAAAAAGGTCCAATAAATATGGGCGCAAAGATTCTCCTCTAACGGGATACAGGGTATTGAAGTTTTATTTATGGAATTAAAAAAATATATATATATATATATATCTACGGAGGGCGTGAAGATACTGAATTAGGACATTTAGCGAGCACATCATCAGCAATAAACACACATTTTTCCGGCACAAACTAAACCACGGACGTAGAAAGTGGGGTGCCTGGACCGCTAATAGAAAATATTTCCTACGCCAGTGGTCGTTTCTGAGAAAATAAGTGCATTTTATAGAACATTATTCAATATTCCATAAATTTTGTCTCTTAAGTAATTTTTGTCAAATCACGCGTTTTGGAGATATTTAGCTTTGAAGTTTTGAGGTCAAATCCTAAAATATTCTTATAAAAAAGTTTACCTCCCCTATTCTGAAAATACCGTGAAGCTTGATATTGGAAACACTATATGGCACGTGAAAAAAGCACCACATTAATTGAATAATATGCGTGTCTTAATCAGTAGCGTAGAAGCTTACCATTCGTTAAACCTTGTCCGTGCACGTCACAACTATATAGTAATTGTGGAACCAATCAATTTATCGTCCTTCTTTTTTCAAAATTCTTTAGCAGCAACAACACGATTAGGTTGGACGTTATAGCATTTATTCAGCATAATTTTTTATTTCCAAAGTTATGATCTCATAAATAACCTCATGCGGCCAATTAATGTACTGCGAGATGTCGAGAAGCTCTTAGAAGGATTCATATATGAACAAGTCATTGAATATATTGAAGAAAATAAGATATTGACAAAACTTCAAGCAGGATTCAGAGAAAGCTTTTCTACTGAAACAGCAATTCAAACGGAAGTAGAAGAATGGAGGCGAAATATGGATGAAGAAATGTTTACAGTAACATTGTTCTCAGATTTCAAGAGAGTATTTGAGACTATTGACAGGGAGAAATTGTTAACGAAACTGCATTGCTATGGATTTCAAGTATTCAACTTATTACAAAATTATTTAAACAATAGAAGTCAAAGAATTAAAATTGGCAATATATTATCAAACATTAAAAACATTTCGGTAGGTGTGCCACAGGGTAGCAAATTAGGTCCATTACTATTTATTTTATATATTAAAGATTTTACAACACTGCAAAATTCAACTATATATTTGCTGATGATACATTAATATGTATATATATATATATATATATATATATATATATATATATCAAATAAAGACATTGAAACTGCAATAGAGCTTTTAAATAATGATATGAAAAACGTAATATATTGGTTAAATGTATACTAAGTGACATATAAATAATAAAAGTTGGTGAATGTATTCATCTTACTGTAAATAACAAGTGAAAAAAATTTCAGCCTTATCAGTTGGACATTCCGGTTTTTATACTGCTTTTTTTTTAATTCACTAACGCTCTAAAAATGAATATTTCAGCCGCAGTAAAGAATCAACGTTGGCGGATTTTGGTTCTTGACATCCTTTACGATCGGTTACGATGCCTAGAGTACGGAGACCTGTACGATTTCGTCAACCTAGTGAGTTTGATAGTGGCCGTATAGTGGGACTTCGGGAAGCTGGACTTTCTTTTCGGGCAATTGCAGTTAGAGTGCAAAGAAGTGTAGACACTGTGGTTAGGTGTTGTCAGGCATGGCTTCGAGAAGGCCGTACGCAAAGAGCAAGGAGCACTGGACGCCGCCGTATAACAACAGACCGTGAACATCGCCGCCTAAGATTATTGGCCTTAAGGGATCGTTTCTCCACTACCAGGTCCATTGCAAATGAATGGTTTGCAGAACACGGAAGACCTATTGGCATGCGAGGTGTTTACCGACGAATGAGAAGTTTTGGCTTGTTTTCATACCGGCCACACTGGGTCCTCCCTTTAACTCGAGAACACCGACGTAATCGCCTTGAGTGGTGCAGACAACGGTCACTCTGGGATCAGGAATGGAACAGTAGTGTCTTTAGTGACGAGTCTCGATTTTGTTTAGGCATGCTCGATGGTCGTGCCAGGGTTAGAAGGCGACGTGGTGAAAGGAGGAATCCACAGTTTTTTGTTGAAAGACATGTTCATCACACTGTTGGAGTTATGGTTTGGGGTGCTATAGCTTATGGTTCCAGGTCACCTTTAATCTTCATCAGAGGTAACATGAACGCGCAGCGTTATGTCCACGAAGTTCTAGAACCCCATCTTTTACCCTATCTTGACACCCTGGCAGATCCAACTTTCCAACAAGATAATAATGGCCACCAAAGATCTCCCGACTTATCCCCAATTGAGCACGGGTGGGGTAAGATGGGTAGGAGATTGCTCAATTTGCAACGTCCTCCTCCCAAAATTTTATTAAAATAAAACCATTTAAACTGGGTGTTCGGATTTATATGTCACTTAGTATAAATAAACTTAAACTAAACACAAACAAAACAAAATATATGCTAATAGGAAAATCTTTAGATCAAAATACGATAAATCTTACAATTAATCATGAAAAAATTGTGTCAATCGAATCATTTAAACATCTGGACATATACGTAGACAGTAAATTAAAATTTGAAGGGCACTATGAATATATTATTTCAAAAATGTCCAAGAAAATCAATTACTTTTATAGAGTTTCGCATAGCCTAAGCATTTATTCTAAAAAAAATGTGTACAACACTATCATTCTTCCTCATTTGTTATATTGTTCGACTATTTTGTTCACTGCAAATGAAACTATATTTTCAAAATTACAAATATTACAAAATAAAGCTATGAGAATCAACATAAATAAGAAATATACTAGACTAAACTTTATGCTGAAAGAACTACAATGGTTAAATATCAAAAATTTCATCGCCCAGTTGGTTTCATTTTCATATTCAAGTTGAAAAATCATCTTCTACCAAATCACTTGGAAAATTTTATTGTATTGAACAATGAGTGCCACAATTATTCTACTAGAGGAAGTATAGACTTTCATTTACAGAACTGCAGTAGCAACATAACGAGCAAGTCTGTATTTCAAAAGGGATTGTACGAATTTAATAAATTAAGTAGTGGTATCAAGATGTGTGCCGGTTTGAAAATATTCAAAGGGAAATTGAAAAAATATTTTATTCGAAAACCAGAATTCGTAGTAATGAAATTTTGTATCTATAAAATATGTAATCTTGAAGACATAATATATTTTGTGATATACTGTGTAATATGGATATTATGGACATTGTAGCATTAATGCTAAATAAATCTGAAAAAAACAAACAAAAGTTGTATCAAATGTAATTTTTATAGTCGCATTCAATTCCTATTAGCTTTATTTATTTTTGAAAAAAAATGTTTTCTTTGTAATGAAGTTTCTTTATCTATAAACAAAAATAAATATGCCGGCAAAAGTAGTGGCGTGCACAGGAAATATTTAATGAATGGTAAGCTTCTACGCTACTGATTGAGGGTAAAACACGCATATTATTCCTTTGGTGTTATCATGAGGTGCCACAGCCATCTTCACAGTACGCATAGTGTTTCCAATATCAAGCTTCACGGAGTTTTCAGAATAGAGGAGGCTAAACCTAAATTTGGTAGATAACCGGCTTACTGTAACCAGGTGAGAAAGCTAGGTAAAAATAGGATTAACTTGAATTCAGATGGATATTTTTTAACGTTGCAAAATATGATTACAATGTAACAACAGCACTGACAGACACTTACCGCTGGCCATAATTTCTGCCAGACGCTTAACGCAGGGTACAAAGAAGTTTCATATGAACGTTATAGGGTCTACTAGTACATACGTTTTTGTGTTCGGTTTCTATTAGTATACAGGATGCTTCAGAAATGTCCGTTCGAATAAGGTTTTGTTTTCTTTAGAGAGAGGATTTATAGCGTCTGGCAAAAGTTATGTCGGCGAGAAATGTCTAGATATGCTGGACATTATTATTTAGCACTAATATTCTATAAAGTATGCGTAAAAATCAGTCATCAGAATTAAAATCACCTTAGTCCTGTTTTTACTTACTTTCCTTACCTGATAGTGGTGAATCGGCTGTTTTTCCATCTTATCAGATACACAAGCGTTGTTTTATTTTTTTATACTTGAACCATCACGAAGGTCTAACGGTTAAATCCCCGTGGGTACCATGGGGCTATAGGGAAGTACAGACCCGTCGGGTAGTACTCCACGTTTGAAAATCAGAGACCGTCTACCATCTACGTACAAATAATTCTATTGGGACGGGATTCGAACCCGCGCAGCTCTCGGCGACTGAGTAGTAAACACACTGCGTCGGCAGTGCGGTACTACGCCACCGCGCTGTCTTAGTACATATTGATTTGAAAATGAGCTATGTCTGGCAGCTCTGGGATCTTGGAGTACAAGAAATTATGCTTAAAAGGAGTGCTAAATTTTCCATTTTAATCTCCCGTTGTTTCCGTAGTGTGTCGTGCCTTTATTTTTAAGTCATAGTTCCCTATACCGGGTATTTCGAATACGACTCTCACTACTGCTATTTTAGAAACAATAAACGATACGAAGTCGCTTAAATGGCGTCAAAGTTGCGTATTTAGGTAACTAACAAAATGCCGCTTAGAAAGTTTTGAAATTGAAATTACTTCCGAAAAGAGACGGGGAAAACAGAATTTTAACATTGACACTTTTTCTCCTGTACAAGATGGCTAATTAGAATGTCAATATGACGTTTCATCTCCATCAACTTACTTTTCTCAGCATATTAGATTTCGGCACAGGTAGACAGAGTTATTAATTCTAATTCGAAAAATATTTAATGTGTTATATTGACAAAAAAAAAAATCAGAACCTTCTAGGTAGGCCTTGAAATTTGTTTCATATAGGTACCAGGTTAAGCGCAAAATAATTTTTACTTTTTTCCTAACATTGAGATGGTATATTATAATAAATTGAATGTTGCTATTGCCATGTTTTCTTCCCTACAAGTTGGCGTAGTCAAATTTTAAATTTAGGTTTCTTCTTTCGACTCCCATCACCAACTTTGCTTTTTCATATGGACACTATATTGGGATTTTATACATTTTAAATGGATGTGTTGTTGGAATGAAAAATAATAAAGAAATAAAAAGGTATACTAATACCTGAACCCAAAATGAAAATGTTATTGATGGTAATAATAATAATCATAAATAAGCAAAGCACATGTTCAAAACGTTTACCGTTATTTTGTAGGCCAAACCTAACTCTTCTCTGCTCAGTTTATTTCCGTTCCTTTCGGTCTTTCAAACTATGTTACTATGTTCAATTTAGGTCTTCAAAACCGTCAGATGCTCTCTGTGCATAAATTGACCATACTTTTTATCCAACAACAATATCATGGCCAACTGAGGAAATACATCACTGAATTTATGACTGAAAAGCCCATTTAAATCTACAATATTCAAATGTAGCGTCGATATGAAAAAACAAAGTTGGTGATGGAAGTCGAAAGAGGAAATGTTAAAATTGAAAATTCGACTATGCCTTCTTGAAGAGGTGAATAAGTAACAATGACAATATGCAATTTATTTTGCTATCCCATCTCAAATAAAGTCAGGAAAAAATAAAAGTAGTTTGGGATAAATCTAGTGTGCGAAACAAATGGCTATCTGATATAAATCTGATAGAAATAAGCAAGGTTTGTAAATGTGAATCTATGACGTATTATACATTTTTGGTATCTGAATTAAAAACTCTATTCATCAGTGTAAAAATCCAATATGGCCTGCGTAAGAAGAAAGAAGTTGATGGTGGAGGACAAAATACGAAACGTCATATTGAAATTCTCATTATACCTTCTTGTAAATTAGAACAAGTGACAATAATAATATGCAATTTAGTTTGAAACCCCACTACAAATAAAGCCAGGAAAAAATTAAAACGATTTTGGGGAAATTCGGGTTTTTCCGTCTCACTTCGGAAGTACTTTGAATTTCGGAACTTTCTGAACGACATTTTGTTGATTAGCTGAATACGCAACACCCTGTATATTATTAAGAGTCAGCCGTCCTTGGATCAATTTTCATCACACACACATATTTTTACTTCTTGGTATGGTAGTAACCTATTGCTGTCTACACGTGGTACTTACCAAAGTCCTTGATATATTTCTCTAACTTGTCATTTTCTTCTTGTGACGTGATACTGGCCAGGTGCATGCCATGAAACCGGCAATATTGCGTAGCTCGAAAATAGTTCGCCTGGAACGTAAAGAAAGACAACAGTAGTTATCTTTCGCTATAATTTATTATATTTTATGTTCAGATCATATACTTTGGTGATTTTTTAGGTATATCTCATTCTAAATGCAGTATACCTATAGCAATTCTAAAACTAAATTGAGATCGTTTATAAATTATTGCAATTGTCACAAATTATTTTGTTATCACTTTCACCATATTTCGCAGTAAAATTTACTAACTTCAATTCAAACAAGGGTGATGTAGACACCGAAAAGTGGTGCATCGGCTTGTGTAAAATAGTTATAAAAATTGCAAAATCAAGAAAATTGGGAATCACGTAACGTAAATCATCTTGCATAATGCATGTAATTTTTTATATTTAATTTTCCATGTCACTAATAAAATAAACAGAGATATTCAATTAAGTCCATTTAAGCTGCAAGAAAACAGTAACAGGTGAGTATAATTTTTTACATCGATCAATCAATTGAGTGTGAAATTAAATTCGACTGATTAATTGTACTAAAAAAATATTAATTATACTGTTGCACCGGTAGGCAGGTCTTTTAAAAGAGAAAAGGATGACAATAAGCTATTCAGAGTTCAGAATGATTAGATTCTGCTTTGTTAAACTGTTACATCATAGTAAGCGCGGTATTAACAGTCCAGTCAAATTACGGACGAAGTAGTAGTGGGGTGGCGAATCATGGCAACTAGACCATCTTTGGCGCTTTATTTGATTCCAGATAAGAAACATTAAAATTGAAACTTGCTGACTTGATCGGTAGTTTTTCAAGCGGTTATGAGGGAATGGCCAGAGAATCTTAATATACGTATCTCTTATCCTTATGTCTTTTCTACATGTTTACCTTGAAAAATATGCCCAGGTAATATCTTTTCTCTCCGAGCTTCAACAATGGCATCGTCCATCGATTTGGAGTAGGCGTATCATCAACGCAGTTTGGACAATCTGTAACAAATATAATTAAACTTATAGAAAATAGATTGCGCCATTAAGTCAAAAGCTTTGAGCCAATATCTAGGCTCACAGATCATCTTATTTGAATTGCCAAAAATGTATGTATAGTCAGCGGAATTTGCATTTATTGTATCATGAGCATTTTATACGATTCCATTATAATCGGTTGATCATTTAATTTATGAAAAGCTTCTAAGCAATATCTCAAAACTAAATTATAAGTGACATCGATATAAAAATATATAATGACTACACGAGACAGATACGGTAAAAATGCGTCAAGGTCTCTCATATGGTTTTTAAAGGAATCGTGACTTGTACACGATGCTAACCTGATTAGTTCATGACATTAACATTGTTTCACCATTAGGACATAGTAGTCTGAGCTCCCATGATTTCATTTTTTTATACCAAAGCACAAGGCTTTAAAAACCCGTAAAAACCCATAAACCTTGAAAAAAAAAAACGATAAAATGTCAACTAGTTCCTAGTGTGCAAATAGTACATTCCGCGTTTGCTCGCTATGAGCGTCATCAAAAGCCTCCATCTATGGAGGAGTGAATCAACGAGACGTCAATGACCATGCTACAAGATCACATCTGGATGATTGTGTGTATTGGTCTGCAGTGATATTTGCTATGTGACAAAATTATTACTGAATATGCTGCCCTTGAAATATCTATATTTATATTAGCTGTACCAGACGGATTATTTGTGTTGTCCTGTCTGAAGAGAGGTTATGTTCAAAGTTTTTCCCATGATTTCTTTGCGTTTCCAAAAAAAAAATGAGAAGCATTACAGGCAATCAGCACCACACTCGCGTTGTGTGTAATTAAGCCACATCATAGAGAAATTAGAAATAACGCATCACATACCAAACATTTTCACACTGCTTCACATCTAGGCGCTGATTTGTATTTTCTACTAGACATCGTAAAATAAATTTCTATGAAATTTAAATGACTACTAATAAAAATTAATGTGAAATGTAATAACTTTTTTACGTTTTATGAATATTCCTGTATGCACCATATTTTCTAACCTGTTAGTTTTAATTTACTTCACCAACCAGAGATTTTATTTTCTTATCGCTCTTTTTTTAAATTCAGCAACTCTGCATATGTAATTTCCAGGAAAAAGCGGATGAACCACACAGATTATTAGCACACAAATCCTCACTATGAACCTATGCACTGCCGTTTCCTCCTAGCTATAGTCTCTGAAGTGATACAGGACCCTAAACTATTATAACGTATCCCAATGCCCATTACAAACATCTTTAATTTGAATTTTTTCTGACATCTGGTTTGGTCACTTGGTTTGTTTCTAATAGTCGGAACAAGGTCGAGTGTTCCATAAATGAATGTTTATTGTTACTGGTCCACGAACCTGGGATGTAAGTTGCCCGTTTATTCCTTCTGAGGATAATTGAGAACAATTCGTGTCCAGATTAATTGCAATGTAATGGCAATAAATATACGGGGTGTTTATAAGGTGCCTGCCCAAAGTTCGAGAGGTGATTATAATTATGACAGTTCATCCAAAACGTAGGTTCGATGATGCTTGGTTTTCGAGTTACAGGATCTCAAATTTTAAAACAGGACAATACATGAATATTCAATATCCAAATAACACTGATGGCATGGGATGGCTCTCCTCATACACAACGTACAATTTTCAATGTTAAACTTCACTAACTTTTGTGTATTTTAAAAGTACAACGGGTTTATCTCAAATATTCAAACCAATTTTTGTCCAAAAGGAAACGCCTGCCAAAAAATTCTCAAACAAGCGTTTCAAGTAAAATTGAGTAACTTAGCCAAAAAGTAAAAGTTGTTTGAAAAACAACAGTTGCACAGAAAATATTTTTTTCTTTGTAGGGGTCAAAATTTTCCAATTTCTACGCCACTGGTGTAGTCTCAAAAACATTTTTTTTGTATATTGGTTATGCTGTTGGCACTACATGAACAAAATTTTGAGTCAGTATATTAACAGGTACACTCCGAAGTTATATCTTCTGTTTCGATTTTGAAATTATAACTTCAACACCCTGCACCTTGGTAAGGAGTCGCTTTGGAACCCATGTCTATGTGAACTTTTCGTGTTATTTTCTTAACTACTTGAAATCCTAGGAACATTGCCATTGCTGTCTGAATCACCCTGTATACAAGGCTAGACCTAGATGAACCCCGCACACTTATTAGATACCTGAAAAATTCTAACTCCTACGACAAGAACCGGTGCTGTCAAATTTCAAATTTTCACCTTTAGGCCTGTATCGTCAGTCGTCCCTACAATTGTAGGGCGCCTTTATGGCCTCCTTGATTGTCATAGTTTTCTACTTCTCCGTGTCAGAACTCTATTTTAAGGTTATGTCACAAACATCTATTTGCATCGAATTGTGCTTGCTTTTGAGTTATATCATGTTTTATCAGCCTGAAATTTTCCACAATTTAAAAAGAAAACATATCTTAACAATAGGAGAGCGCTGACGCTGTCACGGGACAAGTGTAATCTAGAAATTTTTGAAGGAGAGAAAGGAGTATGACAATCAAGGAGGCCATAAACGCGCCCTACAATTGTAGGGACGACTGACGATACGGGCCTTAGTTCATTTTGCGAATTTTGGTGGGTGACAGTAAAACTGTCGGTACCACTTTGATACATCCGCATACACATCTATACGTAATCTACCTCTGGGCGTGGACGTTTGTTTGTGTAAGCTAAGACATACGTTTTTTAGTTTCTTCTCATCACCTCGTATTTTTTTTCGTCAACGTATTCCTCATCTAAGCTTGTCTGTTAGTGTGACAACCCAGTTGACCCAGTTGTCATGGACGTTCCATTTTGAGTTTACCTTTTAACTAATGGACAATATCAAGAGTTTTTGCAAAATTTATTGCAGTAGAGTTCGTGCTCCTTCATTAACTGTTATCGTAATAAGAAAACTCCGTTAGCTATGGAGAATATGGGGGGGGCGTGTTTCATAAGGTTATTTTTATCCATTTTCAATGCTGTTGCCCAGACTTCGTGAAGCTGGGTAAGCTTAATTGAAATAATTTAAAGCTACAAAAACATATTGGTTAAAATTTATTAGAAATTATGAGTTTTAGATCACCGATAAAAAAAAGCTAGAAACAGGCAGTGTTCTAAATGAACTGAATTGGTAATATATGCAATGTGACTAGGTAGCCTTTTATTTTAGTTGAGCTTGTTTTGTGATCACTTGTCGTTCAGTATAATTCTGTACTTATTAATTTCTGGTCCGGTTTCGATACAAATATTAACGAATGTTTTCAGTGAAAAAATTAGCAAGGCTTTGAAGTTACCTTCACGTCAAAATCTAAAAAAAAATAATAGCAATTTGTCGTGACGGTTAGTAGTTAGTATTGTCAAATTACTGCCGTTCACTTTAGTGATCTGGTCGGTAGGCTGAAGAAGACTCTAGGTCAGCGAGAACTGGCACTCGTGGCCTTTCTGGACATTGAAGTTGCGTTTCCTATCCACTTTGGAAGGCCGGATACCAACAGCTATGCTAAATGAGGTATGCTGCAACGTCAGTGTCACCCCTATTGTGGTGCCTCGTGGTGAACGATCTCCTCGTTAGGCTCGGCAGTGTGGGCGTTTATGTAAAACCATATGCTGACGATTTAAGCATAGTGGCTAGCGGTCGTTTTTGTTGAACGGTCCAAGGACGAATTCAGGATTTCGTCTAGGGGAAGCGCAAACGATATTTGGGGCTGGTCATTTTTTAACCTCAGTGGAACTTCCAGAATTTATCCTATCATTGCTCTTTAAATCCATTGTGTTCTATCTGGTCAAGGCCAGCTTGAAAAAAAAAACATGGAAAGTGCTCAGAAATCCTCAGAAAGCCAATATTTTATTATATGAGAACAAAATAAGTACGTGGCATTCATAATTAACTAGTGTAATAATATTAAAGATCCAAACATGAAAAACTTCATTGCTATGTTAACCGACAAAAATAAAGCATTCTGAGAGATCCCGAGATATATCCCAGTTTATTCCACACACTACAATGTCTTTAATTGCGAAAACGAACATGATACCAAATAATTCAGATTATTGTATGGACGCTAGACAAGACAAAGAAGGATGTCTATAGACCATCTATAGATCGTGTCTTGACACCGTCTCCAGACTGCCTAAAAACAAATGGCCCAACGGGGCTACTAGTATGTAATACAATTCAAGTAAATGGTGCAAATACTGACACAATCAAGCACTTCTATTATATCAGCAGTATGAGGCATGTATTCCTCCATTCCGACGTCGATAATTATTTCGGTTATCGAAGAACAGACAGCCGACGCATCCGCTTCGTTACATTTGTTTCTGCACTCCACATCGGCTTGTCTGTTCTCTACAGTGGGGTTTTGTAAGAAAGTTCTACGTGCCTTGATCTTCTGCTGGCGAGCAGTGTCACACGATTTGTTAAACCAGCCGTTGGGACCTGGTTTAGGAACTTTCACTGTGTGAGGGATGTATTCCCCCATTCCGACCTGGATAATTTCGGTTATCGAAGAGCAGACATCCGACGTATCCGCGTCAGTAAAGCAGACATTTTTCCAAGGGAAGGTAAAAAGTCTCTGAGCCCCTCCCAGTCGGTATGTCCGTAATGCCAAGTTTTGCGGCCTGTGCGAGTTTCTGCTGAAACAGCGGGTTCTGACCGAAACCTAACATCCACAACACAGCGGTCTGAGTTACTCAGGAGAGACAGGACAGCAGAGCTGTAAGGGACAGGATGCGTGGTCAGAAAGAGATCCAGCAGGATACTGACATGTGACGAGACGTGGGACAAAAAAAGTAGGGCCCGTCACCAGCTGGGTCAGCCCTTGAGTGAGAGCGAACGTTTTAACTGCACGACCTGCTGCATCAGTCTTGTTTGAGCCCAACCAAAGTAAATTATGGTCGTTGAAATCACCGAGGAGACCTACCTCTGAAGCGGAGTGATTGATGTTCAGGAAGTC